ACCCCCCCCCCCCCCCCCACACACACACAGCAAACTTCACGGTTGCCCACAGCCTCTTTCCTTGCAATTCAGTCACCTGGCTACTGGAAGATGACGTTCATCAGCGCCATCAGTGTTGTCATTGTACAGACCCGAGGGCGGTGCATGGTCTTCTCCCAGGCAGTTCTGTCTCTACTACGGTGTGAGCCTGGCTTGCGCAGCTGGCCGCAGCTGGCCCATTCCAGAAATGGCCCAGAAGGGACAGTGTCTTCTACCGTGGTTCTGGTACCTGCAGAAGCCTGTGCTCAGCAGCCTCAGACCAAGGGCATTCGGAGGCCCACAACCCCCCATCTCTCTCCTGGAATCTCCAGCCCCTCACCCAGGTTCTGCAGCCTCTCTTCCTGTGTCTTGTTTTTTCCTTGAAGAAAAGGGATCACTGTGGGAAAGCTTGGGTGTGGCCCAAAAGGTAGAATGCCTGCCTAGTGACAAGGCCCCAAGTCCAAACCCCAGTCCTGTCAAAGAAGCAACCGTATGATGCCACTGGAATACTACTCAGCCATGAAAGGGAGCCAATACTGCCGGGAGAGGGAAATGCTTGCCTGAACCTCGAAAGCACAAGTGGAAAGCACAGAGGCCAGGCGGACGTGGGAGGACGGGGTGTGGGGTGCTGTTTATGTGAAGTTTCCTTTTTTTTTTTTTTGTTGGTCATGGGGCTTGAACTCTGAGCCTAGGCACCGTGTCTCAGCGCTTCAGTTCAAGGCTAGCACTCTACCACTTGAGCCACAGCATCACTTCCAGTTTTCTGGTGGTTTATTGGAGATAAGAGTCTCACAGACTTTCCTGCCCAGGCTGGCTTTGAACCACGATCCTCATATCCCAGCGTCCTGAGTAGCTAGGATTATAGACGTGAGCCACAGGCACCTGGCGAAGTTTCCTTTCCTTTCTGTGTGAACAAGCAGACTTTCTGTATATCCTTTGTTGTTATTTTATTTTTTGAGGCAGGGTCTTGCTTTGTATCCTAGGAGGGCCTTGAGCTGGTGATCTTCCTGCCTCAGTCGCCCAGGTGCTGGGGTTATGGGCACGGGCTGCCATGCCTGACTCTTAGTATCCTTTTACCAGTTAAAATTGCAGCTGTTCAGACTGCGATTGTGCTTTCCTTGTCTATCTGATCGGGGTCAAGATCCCTCAAGCACCTTCTGATCGGGGTCTAGATCCTTGAGTGTCTTTTGCACTGAGCAGGGTTGGTTGGTCTGGCCCTTCCTTCCTTCTGCATGTCTGCATATGGTTTGGATCATAACCTGAGTATACCGTGACAGGAAACTAAATAAATTTATTTTATTTTTATCCAACAATTTTCTAACCTGTTCCTAACCTTACCTCCCCCCCACCCCGCCCCCATCACCTGGGTCCCTGGTAACAATGGTTCAGACCTGCCTTTTCCCTTGCACATGTAGGTCAGATCGTTCAGTGCCTGGCTCATTTCACATAGCACAATGTCTGCCAGGCCCATCCGTGTGGTTGCAAGTAACAGGAGCTCGTGCTTTTTAAGGGCTGAATAGTATTCCTTTGCATTCTGTATTGTGTTTTTGAAAGTGGGAGTTTTAGATTCCAGGCCTACAACGTGTCAGCTCTGGCCATGTGCCCCAATATACACACACACACACACACACACAAAGTCACGCTGAAGGGCAGTGAGAGGAGATTTCTGTACGTGCCCTGACATCTGAGATGACAGTGTGTCAGTGCGTCGGTTAGATGGTGCACGAGGAACTCCTGGGAGGGAGCGCTGCTGCTCATTGCCAAGTGAATATCACACCAGTCACACGGGCCCCAAGGAAGCCTGGCACGGGAATGACACACGCGCCGTCAATTGCCTGTTACTGTGGAAACCGCCGCACTGCTTTGTCTGGTTATGTGGACTTTGTGATAATAGCATTATTTTCTCCATCAGTAAAAATAATGTACAGGTTATACACAGTGTAATATCCTCACCAAATTGCATACTTGTTATTATATATAATATCATAGTCCCATCAAACTTGTGTCCATCAGATAGGTGTTCTTTGTTGGTCAGTTATACCCCCAATAAAGCTATTAAAGATGGCTTTTAGAAAACATTCAGAAGAAAAAGTAAAATGGAGAACAGCTATTTCAGTTCCACAACCCTGAAGCGAGCTGTGTTGGTATTTTGAGTCTGCTGCTGCTTTCCCCCGGCCTGTTTATTTAGTGAGGCTGTGATCACTGGTCTATATAATTAAACACATCTTATGTTCAATTTTATATCCTGTTCCCTCTCCCTTGAGGGGCTTTTGAGGTGAAGTGGAGAGCCCTAGAGCTGTGTGTGGCCCGCTAGCCCGGCAGCGGTGAGGCTCAGCTTAACTCAGACGCAGCCGGCCTGACACCCAGGCCAGGAGCTCGCAGTGTGGACTGCCCGCTGGCAGGACGCTGGTGGCCCTGCCCCGCTGCTCTCCTTCCCGTGTCTGGAGCCAGGGAGGGACGCAGCCAGCCATCACCCGGCACGTCACCCTTCCTCCTCCCCCTCTGGGGTGGCCGGCCCAGCCTTCCCCCGCGTGGCTCAGCCCGCATGGTCGCCGTGTGGCTCTGGTAGAAGAGAAAAAAGAAACGGCGGCACAGTGCCCCGATGCCCGTAGCTTGCCCAGCGCGTTCAGGCACTGGTGGGGTTGTGAAGTGCAGCCATGGGAGCCAGGCATTGAGCGTCTGAGCTTCCTTCCCCGCTGCGGAGACTTACAGTGCAAGGGCTTGGGCCACTCTGAGGGGCGCAGGGTGTGGGTGCTGTGCCAGAGCGGTGGCAGGTGCCCATGGCAGGCAGTAGGTCCGTCTGTGTGCTGGGTGGAGGTCCGAGGAAACCACAGACCGGAGATCCAGGCTAGCTGCGGGCAGAAGCCGGGCCTGCAGAGGCCAGAATGGGGGGGTGAGGAGGGGGCGCGGCAGGGCAGAAGAGCTGGGGCTGCGCCCGCCGAGCCTGCCCTGGCCTGTGCTGTGCCCGCTCTGGGCTGGGCTTGGCCAGAGGTCCCGGCTCCACCGGAGGCACGAGGCCTGCCTGGGCACGTCCACCCAGCCAAGGCCGAGGTCAAGGCCCACCCTGTGCCCAGCCCTCGCAGCCCTCCACGCAGGGCTTGTCTGCCAGCAAGTCTCCACAGGTCAGGAGCGGGAGGCCAGGCTGTCAGAGACATTTGTTCACCATGAAGCGGGCGCCGTGGGCCGTGGTCACACACCGGTGTCCCAGGAGCAGCTGGCGTCCATCCTTCAGGAGACAGTGGGTGACCCGAGTGCCCAGGCAGCGGGGGAGGGGCTGTGAAGGCAGGGTGGGCAGCAGGGACCCCTGCCCTGTAGTGGAGGCTCCCATGGTGGGGGGGGCGGGGAGGCCAAGTGGGGGTCAAGGCAACTGGGGCCTCCTCACCCCTGCTGAGGCCGCCTGCCTTTCCTAGAGGTCAAAATGATGGAGGAGGTAGGGTTGGTGGAATTCCGGCTTGGAGTCTGAATAAACCTCCACCCTACTGGCTGTCTGGCTGTCTGGCTGTCTGGCTGTCAGTCAGGGAGGATAGAGGATGGGTGGGGTGGGGTGCTATGCTCTTTTCTGGTCCCTTGGTAGGAGTGTCACTGCTGTGGTTGGTTTGAAAATAAATCCAAAGTCAAGTGCCAGTGGCTCATGCCCATAATTCCAGCAACTCTGATGGCTGAGATTTGAGGATGATGCAGAGGTCGGAGGTCCATCCCATTCCTGGATGGGGGGGGCGGGGATACTGCTCTGATCTGCCAGCGATGGCTGCTTGGACATATGCAGATAGTGTTCTAGCACTTTTTACATTTCCAGATATGTTAGAAATGACTTGTATAGAAGCACTTAATTCTCCAGGCATTAAGAATAAATGCAAGTTAGAAATAAAACTCTACCTTGGGGTTCGGGGCAAGCTTGTGGATGGGGCTTGGGGCTGGCCTTGTTGGCGAGCTGGGGCTCTGGAAGAGCCATCTTGTTCCTGCGGTCCCGTCCTCCTCCTGCCTGTTGCAGCCCCTGGAATGTTCGGGCCGGTTGTCTCTGTGACTCGAGTCCCAGAATGTTGGCATGGAAGGGGGTTCCCGTGTTCCCGTGCCAGGACTGGACCTGGGGATGGGGGTGTCAGTCCTCTCCAAGTCCATGCCCATGCAGGAGAACCAGCCCTGGGTGTCTGGGACCCCAGGTACCTGGCAGCCCTTTCACAAAGGTCCTGGATGCCGGGGTCACAGGGGCTGGAAGGGGGCAGGGGGAGCAGCATGCGGAGCTGAGGGCTCAGCCTTCTTGGGTGCAGGCTGGGAGGGGTCCCAGAGGCCTGCCTGTGGGTGAGCTCGGGGAGTCACCCGAGCTGGGCATCTGGCCCTAACGGGTGGGGGGGGTCTCATTCGTCAACAGCCGTGTTGGGAGGGGCTGGCCTGCCCTGGGCGGCCAGACACCGGGGCCCACTAGACCGCTCAAGGAAGCAGGATGAGGCCACGCCCGGGTGGCCTCAGGTGTCGCCTCCTGTCCCCTCTCGTCCAGGTACCAGCGTCTGTGGGTGCTGCGCCGTTCCCTGCCTTCCGCCCACCATGCATTCTCTCAGTGGCCTCCCCGGGGTGGGCCTCCGGTCGAGCCTCCATCCCAGCTCTACAGAGCTGGGCTCTGTCCAGACAGCTGTAGCTCACTTTGTCTGGGCCCTTGGTCCCTTATGTCGCCTTCCTGAAATGTCCTCCAGGGTGGAGGGGGTGGTGCTCCCTTCCCCTCCCCAAGGCCCAGTCCCTGAGTGAGGCTGAGCTACGGTACATCCCCACGGACCCATCTGTCTCCCCCAGGGAACCTGCAGTGCTTGGGGGAGGAAAGGAGGGTGAGGAGTAGAATCTAATCGTGAAGACATACTCCTCACCCCTGGGTCCCCTCCTGCCCATGGCCCCGCAGGGGTGCGGGGCGCCGAGCACACACTGACCTGCTGTGCATGCCGTCCACGCCGCACAGGCCCCGTCTGCTGACCCCTCCCCTCTGTCTCCCCTAGCCGACATCATCTCCACTGTTGAGTTCAACCACACTGGAGAGCTCCTGGCCACGGGTGACAAGGGCGGCCGGGTGGTCATCTTCCAGCGGGAACCAGAGGTATGTAGGGGTGAGGGGGGCTGGCAGGGGTGGGTGGGGCGGGGAGGACGGATTCCAAGCTGGGCCTTGGCACTGCCTTCCAGAGCTCTGCCCTGGAGCTGGAGGGAAGCCGGGGGGGGGGGGGGGGAGGGGGGTGACTGGCTGGTGCAGAGGGGAGCCCAGGTCTGTTCACAAAGCCATGCTTGCACCCTGAAACCCCAGAAAAACCTCAGCACAGCCAGAGCCTCAAACCTTCCTGTGCCTGGGTGGCTGTAGAAAGGGGGCGATCAAGGCCTCTCCTGCCTGGCTCCTCAAGGCAGGCTGCAGCTGCCGTGTGGTGGTCAGGCCCAGCCCCCACGCGCCCCCCCCCCCCACCTTCCCAGTCCCTCCCTAGGCCCGCCACCCGACGTCCGAGTGTGCTGCTCAGCAGCATCCTGAGGAAAGCGAGAGCGGCCTGGGATTGTTCTGTGCACCTACTGTGCGCAGGCTCCTGGCCAGGTGTTCTGTGCACCATCCTGGCTTACTCTCCTCGCTCAGCTCCGGGAGAGGTGGGGATCCCCACACTTGTAGCTATGGAAACAGACGGGTCACCTGCCCGTGCCCAGCAGCCCAGCACGGCAAGCAGCCCCCTGGTCCCCGTGAAGGACTTCTCTCCGTGAACATGTGCTGGGCTGAAACCAGGGAGAAGGGAGAGGCGGGGAGGGGCGGAGCTGAGCGGAGGGGCGGAGCTGAGCGGAGGGGCGGAGCTGAGCGTGGTCCTGGGGCTGTGATTTCCCCTCATGGCCGCCCCCTGGGGCAGTGGTGCATGTAAGGACCCACCCTGGGAGGTGGCTGGCAAGGATGAGGACACAGCACAGCCCTCCTGCTACCAAATTCAGAGACAAATTAATTTTGGCAGATCTGTCTGTCTGTCTGTCCCAGTCCTTGGCCTAGAGCTAGATCTCAGGGCCCCGTCTTTTAGCTTTTTCTTTTTTTAAAACACTTATTCAAGGCTGGCACTCTACCACTTGGACCACAGCTTCACTTCTGGCTTTTTGCTAGTTAATAGATGCTAAGGGTCTCATGGACTTCCCTGCCCAGGCTGGCTTCAAACCATGATCCTCAGATCTCAGTCTCCTGAGTCGCTAGGATGACAGGCGTGAGCCACGGGAGCTGGGTTTTTCCTTTGGTTTTACCTTCTTCCTTCCACCCCTCCCCATGACTGTGCTCACGGGAGAGGAAGTAGAATGGAGGCAAAAACATGGAAGAATTGGAATCTTTGCCAGAGCGAGGCAGAGGGCGGAGCCTAAAAATAGACACTCTCCGATAATGAACAGGAAAACTTGAAGCTGTTGCCTGCGTGGTTGGAGAATTCATTTGTCTCTCCAGTGCAGCTTCACGTTGCCATGGAAACAAACTCAGCTGGTAAAGCTGTCCCTGCTGCTCACCCTGGACCCAGCACCTTCATATTGGAGGGCGGGACTGTACCGGGGGGGCCATACCATAAAGAACTCCACTGCCTAAGCCCGGATGGGCCCGGTGCTGTCCTGTCTCGGGTCTGTTGTAGCCGAGTCCTGTCCCAGGACTGCACGTGTCCGTCTCCCCCGCAAAGTCAGGCCCCAGCTGGATCCGTGGGTGCCAGGAGCAGGTTAGGGCTGACGCAGGCTGGTCAGACCCTCAGCTCTGCCTTCTGTCCTCGATAGTCACAGGTCGCCATGTGGCCTGTCTCCGTGCGGGCTGCGGGCTGCGAATAGGAGAGCCCTGAAGCCTTTGTCAGTGCCCAGCATGGAGTAGTCGCTCAGCAAACCTGAGCTCACTCAGTTGTTTAGCTGCACTGAGGACACGGTGGGCCAGCGAGTCCCGGGTCACAGAAGCATAGCTTGTCCTGCAGCTCAGCTGCCTCTTGGTTTCCTTGCAGAGTAAAAATGCACCTCATAGCCAGGGCGAGTACGACGTGTACAGCACTTTCCAGAGTCACGAGCCGGAGTTCGACTATCTCAAGAGCCTGGAGATAGAGGAGAAGATCAACAAGATCAAATGGCTCCCGCAGCAGAATGCGGCTCACTCGCTCCTGTCCACCAATGGTGAGGCCTCATGGTATGCATGTGTGTGCACGCGTGCGCACGTGCACGTGTGTATGAGCATGCATGTACATGTTCATACGTGTATGTGTGTACCCATACAGGTGTACACTCCTGCAGCAGGACATAGCCCACTCGTTCCTGTCCACTGATGGTGCAGCTGCCTGAGGGATGTCTGTGTGTGTGTGTGTGTGTGTGTGAGAGAGAGAGAGAGAGAGAAAGAGAGAGAGAGAGAGAGAGAAGGGGGGGAGAGAGGCAGGCAGGTGAGGAACTGGCTCATGTGATCAGGGGAGCCAGTGAGGCTGCAGTCTGTAGCGTAGACCCCTGGCTGGAAGGCAGGGAAGAGCTGCAGTTCACACCTGAAGCCATTTCCTGGCAGCTGGCCTTTGCCCTCTCCCGGCCTTCAGCTGGTTAGATGTGGCCCACTCACATGATGGAAGTCACCTGCTTACTCCTATCTCGGCTCAAGAGAAAAAGCAAAACAAAACAAAGAACCCTTCACAGCTGTGTCTGAGACACATCTAACCCAGCAGGTGGCACTGACAATTCACCACCACACCCACTCAGCTTTTTCTTGTGATGTTCTTGGCAGGGTGAGGGCAGGTGTGTTGTCCCGGGGCGTCAGACCCTCGGCCCGAGACGGTCACCTTTGGGATCCAACATGAGAAAGGGCTGGAGTGAAGACCAGCTCTGCACACCACGTGCTTGCACACACACACACACACGTGCTGCCACACGCACACGCTCTGTGTGTAGAACCCACACGGTGGGAGATGTTCCTCGTCCAGCGCAGCGTGGGGGTCTCGGCAGCTTTCCAGTGGGTGCCATTGTGTGGCTGGCCGGAGCCATGCATGCCCTCCGTCCCGGTGGTGGATGACATGTGTTCTTCTCTGTTCTTTTCTTCAAGATAAAACGATAAAGTTATGGAAGATTACCGAGCGAGACAAGCGGCCGGAGGGCTACAACCTGAAGGATGAAGAGGGGAAGCTGAAGGATCTCTCCACGGTGACCTCGTTGCAGGTGGGCACCGACGCCCAGGAGCCACGCCTGGGCTTTGCATTCCTTTTTTTCTTTGAAACCACCGGGATTTTAAGGCTTGGAGAGCCTTGAGGGTTGGCGTCTGGTGGGGCTGCTTCTGTGGGGAGGCTGTGTCCCCTGCTCCAGGCCTCAGTTTCCTCACCAGAACCCCTGTTTTCCTTGGAGCAGGGTGAGGTCACGGGATCCCGACGTTTTTTTCTACCCCCCAAAACCTGAGGCCCACCTGGGCGCTGGTGGCTATAATCCTATAATCCTATAATCCTATAATTGTACCTATAATCCTAGCAGGAGGCTGAGATCTGACGATCATGGTTCAGAACCAGCCTGGGCAGGAAAGTCCACAAGACTACTTTTATCTCCAACAAACTACTAAAAAAACAACAGGAGTGGAGCTGTGGCTCAAGTGGTAGAGCACCAGCCTTGAACAACAGCTTCAGGGATCATGCCCCGAACTGCACACACAAAAAGCTGGGGCCCAGAGAGGCGCCTCCCCCCCCCCCCCCCCGGGCCCTGCTGTCTGACCTGCTTCTTCTCCTCCCCTCCTCCTGCAGGTGCCGGTGCTGAAGCCCATGGATTTGATGGTGGAGGTGAGCCCCCGGAGGATCTTTGCCAACGGCCACACCTACCACATCAACTCCATCTCGGTCAACAGCGACTGCGAGACCTACATGTCTGCGGATGACCTGCGCATCAACCTGTGGCACCTGGCCATCACGGACAGGAGCTTCAGTATCCTTCCCCCCGGCCCCACTGCCACCCCTCCAGGCCGGAGCCTTCAAATGGCGGGCGGGTTTGATGTGAGCCGTTCGGCTTGGGGTCTTTGCCTCTGTTTAGCTTCTTTAGGGAGAGGCTGCGCTCTCTGTGTGGCTAGGGCCCACATCCGGAATCACGTCTGCTTAGGAAAACATTTGCGTGTGCGCTGGGACTCTGACTTGAATTGAGGGCCTGAGCTGCTCCCTCTTAGCTCTTTTGCTCAAGGCTGGTGCTCTGCTGTGTGAGCCACAGCTCTAGTTCTTCCATTTTGGTGGTTAATTGGCTGGCGTTGAACCGTGATCCTTGGGTCTCAGCCTCCTGAGCAACTAGGTACAGCGTCCTAGGCTGGTAAACAGGGCTTCCCCTGGAGGACCTACCCCGCTCCTCCACACTTCAGGAGGAAAGAGGCTCCCTCTGCTGGTCCCCAGACCCCTCCCCTCCCCCAGCACCCTCTGCTGCTGCTCCCCAGACACCACCCCCCCCCCCCCCCCGTTGATTCCTTCCCCCCACACATTCCCCCATCTCTGTTTTAAACAGCCTCTCATGCTTTTTTAATGCCAGCTTCTGGAGACTGGGGTCCATGCGGTGATTTGCTAGAGTTTTCTGCTGCTCAAGGATAGCACAGAGCCACAGCTGAGGCCGCTGATCTATTTTTAGCGCTCACACATTTCAAGATGGTTCCATTGATTTTTTTTTTTTTCTTCCCTAAGCAATTGTTTGTGCTGCAGGCCGGCCTCACCTCACCCCTTAGTCTGGAACACGTTTTCTGTCTCATCTGTGGAGCTGGCCACAGCCCGGGGGACACAGCCAGGGACACAGCTAGGGTTAGGAGGTGGAGGCCGGGCAGCATGTCTGCTTGCTGAGAACTCAGCTGGAGTGAAGGGGGCCGGCGGTGCCCTGAGCTGGGCATCCTCCAGCCCGAGACCCCCCGGCCTCCGCTGCCCAGGCCCCTGGCGGCCCCAGCTCCTCAGCCTTGCTGATCTGGTCTATTCGGTGGGGTATGCCCCTCCGCCAGCCTCTGAGAGCCGAGTGTCCCATGGGCACACGGCCTGACGCGGCGTGCACCAGTGATCCTCACCAGGTCGTGACCCACTGCGTAGAGCAGACGCGGGGCCCGCGGCCTGCGCAGCCAGTGGGACGGCGGTGTTGAGCACGGCCCAGGTGCTGGCGCAGCGCCCCTGGGCTGCAGGCACAGCTGTGCAGGTTGTCTGCTGTCTTCAGGGGGGCGGAGGGGGGCGGGGTGGGGGTTGTGGTTGGATAAGAAGAGTGGGCCTGAACACAAGCAGCCTCAGTAAGCCTTGGGGCGCGCTGAGGGCCGGGTTGCCCCTGGATAGTAGCACACACCCAGGCACTAGCCTGCACCCTGACAATGCTCGCCTCGCTGCTCGCCTCCTCAGGGGCCTGCGTGCCTAACGTGGGGTTCCAGCCTTGCCCCGATGGTGTGGCACCTCGTGGTCTTGGCCCACGTGAGCCTCAGCCGTGGCTTGAGGACCACCCCACTCAGGTGGATGGGTGTCCAATGGCCCCTCGAAGCCTCTGGAACAGCGCCTGGTCCTGGGTCACAGCCCAGCGTCATTGTGACCCCAGGTCTCACCTTGTGTACCCCCCAGAGTCTCCAGCAAGGCCGTGGTGTAGAAGCGGCGGGCAGCTCTGACGGCTCCCATTCAGCCCTCCACCCCCCCTCCCCTGCAGCTCAGCGTGACAGGGCCACAGGAGCTCGTGCTCAGTGGCGTCCAGTGGAGGGATCAAGGGCAGACGCGTGGTTTCCCCACTGCCCAGTCCCTCTGTGCCCTGCCGCTCTCTCCGGGTGCCCAGCTGTGTCTGGCCAGCTCAGTTTGCGGGGGGTGGGGGGGCTGAGCTGCTGAAGAGTGAAGGAAGTTAACAGCGCACCCAACAGTGGAGAGCGTGAGACGGGAAGCTGATGGGACAGGAGACAGTGCACTGACTGTGCCTGGGAGGGGCTTCGGCCACCCGGTCCTGCTTCTTCCTGAGGACAGGAGGGCAAGGGGTGCTGGGGGTGGCAGCAGATGCCCCCGCATATGTGCCCCTGCCAGTATGTGGCAGGTGCAGTGTGTAATACATGCAGGTAGGCAGCAGTGCAGCTGTATAATAGACACAGGTATGCAGCAGGTGCAGGTGTGTAATAGACGCAGGTAGGCAGCAGGTGCAGGTGTGTAATAGATGCAGGTAAGCAGCAGGTGCAGGTGTGTAATAGATGCAGGTAGGCAGCAGTGCAGCTGTGTAATAGACACAGGTATGCAGCAGGTGCAGGTGTGTTATAGATGCAGGTATGCAGCAGGTGCAAGTGTGTAATACATGCAGGTAGGCAGCAGGTGCAGGTGTGTTATAGATGCAGGTATGCAGCAGGTGCAGGTGTGTTATAGATGCAGGTATGCAGCAGGTGCAGGTGTGTTATAGATGCAGGTAGGCAGCAGGTGCAGGTGTGTAATACATGCAGGTAGGCAGCAGGTGCAGGTGTGTTATAGATGCAGGTATGCAGCAGGTGTGTAGTAGACATAGATATGCAGCAGGTGCAGGTGTGTAATAGATGCAGGTATGCAGCAGGTGCAGGTGTGTAATAGATGCAGGTAGGCAGCAGGTGCAGGTGTGTAGTAGACGCAGGTAGGCAGCAGGTGCAGGTGTGTAGTAAGCACAGGTAGGCAGCAGGTGCAGGTGTGTAATAGATGCAGGTATGCAGCAGGTGCAGCTGTGTAATAGATGCAGATAGGCAGCAGGTGCAGTGTGTAATACATGCGGGTAGGCAGCAGGTGCAGGTGTGTAATAGACACAGGTAAGCAGCAGGTGCAGGTGTGTAGTAGACACAGGTAAGCAGCAGGTGCAGGTGTGTAATAGATGCAGGTAGGCAGCAGGTGCAGGTGTGTAACAGATGCAGGTATGCAGCAGGTACAGGTGTGTAGTAAGCACAGGTAGGCAGCAGGTACAGGTAGGTATGTGGTAGGCACAGGTGTGTAGTAGGCACTGGTAGGCAGCAAGTGGAGGTAGGCAGCAGGCACACATTCTGTGTTCCTTTCTTCCTGTTTGCAATGCAGAAGTGAGGTCTGTGGTTACGGGGGCTGGAGCTGATGGCCCCTTCCTTGGGCGGGGAGGGAGGGAGGGAAGAGGTGGTGGGTCAGCCACGTAAGGCCGGTGGGCAGACATGGGGAGGGATGGCTGGAAACCACCTGGTTAGTGGCTCTGTCCTCCAGGTTCAAGTGTTGGGGCTGAAAGAGCAGCTGAGCCCGGGGAGGGGCGGGGCCTTGCGCGGCCGTGTGCTCCTTGACCGCCGCCCAGACATCGTGGACATCAAGCCGGCCAACATGGAGGACCTGACCGAGGTGATCACAGCGTCCGAGTTCCACCCGCACCACTGCAACCTCTTCGTGTACAGCAGCAGCAAGGGCTCCCTGCGGCTCTGTGACATGCGGGCAGCCGCCCTGTGCGACAAGCACTCCAAGCGTGAGTGTGCATGCACGCACACGCATGAGCATGTGTGAACGAATGACACCCCAAGCCTAAGCGTGCGTGCGTGCGTGCGTGTGTGCGTGCACGTGGGTGGGTGGTAGGTGAGCGAATGAGGACACAGATGAGTGAGTTGAATGCGTGAGTGGAAGAATGAATTGGTGAATGGATGAGCGAGTTGTGTCCCTGCGGGCCCGTGAGCAAGCAGCTGGGTGGACGAGCGAGTGAGTTAGTGAATGAGTCAGGCATGCAGGCCTGGGCTGGGGGGTCCGTGATGTCCCAGCACAGCCAGGCAGCTGCCTGAGGGAGGCTGTGGTGTGAGGAGGCTGTGATGTGAGGAGGCTGTGGTGTGGTGTGTGGAGGCTGTGGTGTGGTGTGAGGAGGCTGTGGTGTGGTGTGAGGAGGCTGTGGTGTGAGGAGGCTGTGGTGTGGTGTGAGGAGGCTGTGGTGTGGTGTGTGGAGGCTGTGGTGTGAGGAGGTGTGGTGTGTGGAGGCTGTGGTGTGAGGAGGCTGTGGTGTGGTGTGAGGAGGCTGTGGTGTGTGGAGGCTGTGGTGTGGTGTGAGGAGGCTGTGGTGTGGTGTGAGGAGGCTGTGGTGTGAGGAGGTGTGGTGTGAGGAGGCTGTGGTGTGAGGAGGTTGTGGTTGGTGTGTGAGGAGGCTGTGGTGTGAGGAGGCTGTGGTGTGTGTGGAGGCTGTGGTGTGTGGAGGCTGTGGTGTGGTGTGAGGAGGCTGTGGTGTGAGGAGGCTGTGGTGTGGTGTGAGGAGGCTGTGGTGTGAGGAGGTTGTGGTGTGGTGTGAGGAGGCTGTGGTGTGGTGTGTGGAGGCTGTGGTGTGTGGAGGCTGTGGTGTGGTGTGAGGAGGCTGTGATGTGAGGAGGCTGTGATGTGAGGAGGCTGTGGTGTGGTGTGAGGAGGCTGTGATGTGAGGAGGCTGTGGTGTGTGAGGAGGCTGTGGTGTGGTGTGAGGAGGCTGTGGTGTGGTGTGAGGAGGCTGTGGTGTGGTGTGTGGAGGTGTGGTGTGAGGAGGCTGTGGTGTGGTGTGTGTGGAGGCTGTGGTGTGGTGTGTGTGGAGGCTGTGGTGTGAGGAGGCTGTGGTGTGGTGTGAGGAGGCTGTGGTGTGAGGAGGCTGTGGTGTGAGGAGGCTGTGGTGTGGTGTGAGGAGGCTGTGGTGTGAGGAGGCTGTGGTGTGAGGAGGCTGTGGTGTGGTGTGAGGAGGCTGTGGTGTGGTGTGTGGAGGCTGTGGTGTGGTGTGTGGAGGCTGTGGTGTGTGGAGGCTGTGGTGTGTGTGGAGGCTGTGGTGTGGTGTGAGGAGGCTGTGGTGTGAGGAGGCTGTGGTGTGGTGTGAGGAGGCTGTGGTGTGGTGTGAGGAGGCTGTGGTGTGAGGAGGCTGTGGTGTGAGGAGGCTGTGGTGTGAGGAGGCTGTGGTGTGGTGTGAGGAGGCTGTGGTGTGGTGTGAGGAGGCTGTGGTGTGAGGAGGCTGTGGTGTGGTGTGAGGAGGCTGTGGTGTGAGGAGGCTGTGGTGTGAGGAGGCTGTGGTGTGAGGAGGCTGTGGTGTGGTGTGAGGAGGCTGTGGTGTGGTGTGAGGAGGCTGTGGTGTGAGGAGGCTGTGGTGTGAGGAGGTGTGGTGTGGTGTGAGGAGGCTGTGGTGTGAGGAGGCTGTGGTGTGAGGAGGTGTGGTGTGGTGTGAGGAGGCTGTGGTGTGAGGAGGCTGTGGTGTGGTGTGTGGAGGCTGTGGTGTGAGGAGGCTGTGGTGTGTGTGGAGGCTGTGGTGTGGTGTGAGGAGGCTGTGGTGTGGTGTGAGGAGGCTGTGGTGTGTGTGGAGGCTGTGGTGTGGTGTGAGGAGGCTGTGGTGTGGTGTGTGGAGGCTGTGGTGTGTGGAGGCTGTGGTGTGGTGTGAGGAGGCTGTGATGTGAGGAGGCTGTGATGTGAGGAGGCTGTGGTGTGGTGTGAGGAGGCTGTGATGTGAGGAGGCTGTGGTGTGTGAGGAGGCTGTGGTGTGGTGTGAGGAGGCTGTGGTGTGTGAGGAGGCTGTGGTGTGTGAGGAGGCTGTGGTGTGGTGTGAGGAGGCTGTGGTGTGGTGTGAGGAGGCTGTGGTGTGGTGTGTGGAGGTGTGGTGTGAGGAGGCTGTGGTGTGGTGTGTGTGGAGGCTGTGGTGTGGTGTGTGTGGAGGCTGTGGTGTGAGGAGGCTGTGGTGTGGTGTGAGGAGGCTGTGGTGTGAGGAGGCTGTGGTGTGAGGAGGCTGTGGTGTGGTGTGAGGAGGCTGTGGTGTGAGGAGGCTGTGGTGTGAGGAGGCTGTGGTGTGGTGTGAGGAGGCTGTGGTGTGGTGTGTGGAGGCTGTGGTGTGGTGTGTGGAGGCTGTGGTGTGTGGAGGCTGTGGTGTGTGTGGAGGCTGTGGTGTGGTGTGAGGAGGCTGTGGTGTGAGGAGGCTGTGGTGTGGTGTGAGGAGGCTGTGGTGTGGTGTGAGGAGGCTGTGGTGTGAGGAGGCTGTGGTGTGAGGAGGCTGTGGTGTGAGGAGGCTGTGGTGTGGTGTGAGGAGGCTGTGGTGTGGTGTGAGGAGGCTGTGGTGTGAGGAGGCTGTGGTGTGGTGTGAGGAGGCTGTGGTGTGAGGAGGCTGTGGTGTGAGGAGGCTGTGGTGTGAGGAGGCTGTGGTGTGGTGTGAGGAGGCTGTGGTGTGGTGTGAGGAGGCTGTGGTGTGAGGAGGCTGTGGTGTGAGGAGGTGTGGTGTGGTGTGAGGAGGCTGTGGTGTGAGGAGGCTGTGGTGTGAGGAGGTGTGGTGTGGTGTGAGGAGGCTGTGGTGTGAGGAGGCTGTGGTGTGGTGTGTGGAGGCTGTGGTGTGAGGAGGCTGTGGTGTGTGTGGAGGCTGTGGTGTGGTGTGAGGAGGCTGTGGTGTGGTGTGAGGAGGCTGTGGTGTGTGTGGAGGCTGTGGTGTGGTGTGAGGAGGCTGTGGTGTGGTGTGAGGAGGCTGTGGTGTGAGGAGGCTGTGGTGTGGTGTGAGGAGGCTGTGGTGTGAGGAGGCTGTGGTGTGAGGAGGCTGTGGTGTGGTGTGAGGAGGCTGTGGTGTGGTGTGTGGAGGCTGTGGTGTGTGTGGAGGCTGTGGTGTGGTGTGAGGAGGCTGTGGTGTGGTGTGAGGAGGCTGTGGTGTGTGAGGAGGCTGTGGTGTGAGGAGGCTGTGGTGTGGTGTGAGGAGGCTGTGGTGTGAGGAGGCTGTGGTGTGGTGTGAGGAGGCTGTGGTGTGAGGAGGCTGTGGTGTGAGGAGGCTGTGGTGTGAGGAGGCTGTGGTGTGAGGAGGCTGTGGTGTGGTGTGAGGAGGCTGTGGTGTGAGGAGGCTGTGGTGTGGTGTGAGGAGGCTGTGGTGTGAGGAGGCTGTGGTGTGGTGTGAGGAGGCTGTGGTGTGGTGTGAGGAGGCTGTGGTGTGAGGAGGCTGTGGTGTGAGGAGGCTGTGGTGTGGTGTGAGGAGGCTGTGGTGTGGTGTGAGGAGGCTGTGGTGTGAGGAGGCTGTGGTGTGAGGAGGCTGTGGTGTGGTGTGAGGAGGCTGTGGTGTGAGGAGGCTGTGGTGTGTGGAGGCTGTGGTGTGTGTGGAGGCTGTGGTGTGGTGTGAGGAGGCTGTGGTGTGAGGAGGCTGTGGTGTGAGGAGGCTGTGGTGTGAGGAGGCTGTGGTGTGGTGTGAGGAGGCTGTGGTGTGAGGAGGCTGTGGTGTGAGGAGGCTGTGGTGTGAGGAGGCTGTGGTGTGAGGAGGCTGTGGTGTGGTGTGAGGAGGCTGTGGTGTGAGGAGGTTGTGGTTGGTGTGAGGAGGCTGTGGTGTGGTGTGAGGAGGCTGTGGTGTGAGGAGGTTGTGGTTGGTGTGAGGAGGCTGTGGTGTGACGAGGTTGTGGTTGGTGTGAGGAGGCTGTGGTGTGGTGTGAGGAGGTTGTGGTTGGTGTGAGGAGGCTGTGGTGTGAGGAGGCTGTGGTGTGGTGTGAGGAGGCTGTGGTGTGGTGTGAGGAGGCTGTGGTGTGAGGAGGCTGTGGTGTGAGGAGGCTGTGGTGTGGTGTGAGGAGGCTGTGGTGTGAGGAGGCTGTGGTGTGTGGAGGCTGTGGTGTGTGTGGAGGCTGTGGTGTGGTGTGAGGAGGCTGTGGTGTGAGGAGGCTGTGGTGTGAGGAGGCTGTGGTGTGAGGAGGCTGTGGTGTGGTGTGAGGAGGCTGTGGTGTGAGGAGGCTGTGGTGTGAGGAGGCTGTGGTGTGAGGAGGCTGTGGTGTGAGGAGGCTGTGGTGTGGTGTGAGGAGGCTGTGGTGTGAGGAGGCTGTGGTGTGGTGTGAGGAGGCTGTGGTGTGGTGTGAGGAGGCTGTGGTGTGGTGTGAGGAGGTTGTGGTTGGTGTGAGGAGGCTGTGGTGTGACGAGGTTGTGGTTGGTGTGAGGAGGCTGTGGTGTGAGGAGGTTGTGGTTGGTGTGAGGAGGCTGTGGTGTGAGGAGGCTGTGGTGTGGTGTGAGGAGGCTGTGGTGTGGTGTGAGGAGGCTGTGGTGTGTGGAGGCTGTGGTGTGAGGAGGCTGTGGTGTGGTGTGTGGAGGCTGTGGTGTGGTGTGAGGAGGCTGTGGTGTGTGGAGGCTGTGGTGTGAGGAGGCTGTGGTGTGAGGAGGTTGTGGTTGGTGTGAGGAGGCTGTGGTGTGAGGAGGCTCGTGTGAGGAGGCTGTGGTGTGAGGAGGCTGTGGTGTGGTGTGAGGAGGCTCGTGTGAGGAGGCTGTGGTGTGAGGATGCTGTGGTGTGAGGAGGCTCGTGTGAGGAGGTTGTGGCGTGGGGGAGGCTGTGGCATAGCGTGAGTGGAGGCAGCCTCCCAGAGGCCCCTGAGCAGAGTCGCGATGGTGTCCGGTGGACGAGGGTGTTTCTAGGGTGCTGGCGGCAGGGCTTTGCTGGGCCTCCGGAGGCTCTGTCTGGAGTCCGTGGGTGCCGCCGTGGTGGTCACAGGTGGGTGGAGGCGTAGGGAGGCCGGGGTGCGGGGTGAGCATGGACAGCCACGGGGCTTCCTGTGGCCCCCACAACCACAGCCCCGTGTGGGCAGCTCAGAGCAGCCCAGCCCGAGGCCCGCACACGCGCGGCCTGGGATTCTTCTCTTCTCCCGAGCGGGTTCCATCCGTTCTGGCTGCACTAAGGTTCTGGAAGGTTCCGCAGGAACTTGTCAGGTGTGGAAGAAGCCGCATCCAGCCGCCAGACCCTCACGAGGGGGGCCTGGCAGCACGGCCAGGCAGTGTGAGGCCTCCCGGGGCCCGTGGATGGCTTGCCGGCACCCCTCCCGGCAGCACCACACTGGATCTTAAGCCGCGCGTGGGTGCCACTGGGCAGATGAGACCAAGGAGCAGCCCGAGTAACTTCTTAGAGTGGCCTTGGCCAGGCTGGACCCCCAGGCTCCCCTGTCCCCAGCAAGCATAGAAACCCAGTCTTTGTCTGCTAGACTCTGTGACCAGGTAACCATGGAAAGGACCATCCCAGAGCTTTTGAAATAAGACGGTCATTTCTGCTGTGTGGCGGCCTTGGCCAGCCAGGGTAGTGCTGGGAGCATGGGGGGGGGGGCTGGAATGGGGACCCATTCATGGGCCCCCAGCAGTGCATCCTGCCCCCAACGTGGGCTCATTCTGTGGGCACCAGCCACACTAGGCCACGCCAGGTGGGCGCACGCGCAGTCCTGAGTCGGGGTGGGCGTGGGGACCTGCCCTCCCCCGCCCTTCCCTCTGCGCTGTGACAGTGCTCTGGAGAGCTCACGCTGTGTCTCTGTTTTGTGGGGGCCTCTGGGGATCAGAGGTGGGCAGGCCCGGCGTCCCCTGGAGGCCCGGGGGAGGGCCCGTGTCTTTGTCATTTCTTCTTTCTTTGACCTCTGCTGCCACCACTGCCGCCTCCTCCCCGTCCATCCTTTCCTCCCTGACCTGCTCCTGCTCCTCCGGCTGTACCTGCCTGTGGCTCTCCGTCCTCCCGGCTAGCATCCTCCCTCTTGCCCTGACCGCAGCCTCCGCATGGGTGCTCGCCTGCCTCTGCTTCGCAGGCCTTCAACTCCTGTCTGCCTCAGGACCTTTGCCCGTGTTGCCCCATCTTTCCTGCCAGCCCTTCTCCAGCCTGGCTGTCCAGTGTACGGTGTGGTCCGATCCCTGTCTGCAAGGAGCTGAGGGCCCCAGCGATCAGGGCTCTGTGCCCCCCAAGGCCTGAGCGGAGCCTGTTACATACAGGCTCTGAGTGTGGGCTGCTGGCTGACTGCATGAGCATAAGCCGACGTTTCCCGCTCGCTGCACGGGCTTTTGGGAAAGGCCGCGGTGCACAGACCGGGCCCTGGTCAGGGAGCAGCAGAGCCATAGCAGGAAGCAGGGCTCCACTCCTCGTGGCCTGTGGCAGCGGGGAGGGCTTTCATGAAGCTCCGGGAGCTGCCAACAGCCGGGCTGGGAGAGCAGGCTGGCCGGGAGGCCTGCCAGTCGCTGGTTTCCATGGAGACAGGGACGGCTGGTGACCAAGCCCGGCAGGTCCGGATCCCCACCCGTCCCTGGCACCCCAGCCCACTGGGGGAGGGAAAGGGATGGATGTCTAGAGAAAGTCAGACACGTTGCGTCGCCAGGAGGGGGCAGCAGAGGCCAGGGCAGATCCGCCCTTCCCGCTCCGTCGGGCGGCTCTGCGGCAGGGAGCTTCCCCGTTTCTCTCATGTCCTCATCGGGGCTGAGAAGGTGGCACCGATGGGGGTGGACACGGCTCCACGCGAGTCCTCCCGCCCGCACTGGCCGCTCTGCCGGGAGGGGCGGGGCCTGGTGGGGGCGTGGGGCCCGCAGCCCCGGTGACCTGGCCGCCCTTTGTCCCACCGCAGTTTTTGAGGAGCCCGAGGACCCCAGCAACCGCTCATTCTTCTCGGAAATCATCTCGTCAGTGTCTGACGTGAAGTTCAGCCACAGCGGCCGGTACATGCTCACCCGGGATTACCTCACTGTCAAGGTCTGGGACCTGAACATGGAGGCGAGGCCCATCGAGACCTACCAGGTGGGTCTGCCTCAGACCCGGGGGTGCTCCGGGGGCGCTCCGGGGGTGCAGGAGCCCCTCGCCAAAGCGAGGCCTGAGACTGGTGGCCACTCCTGCCTGCTTCCCTCCCCGGCGTGGGCGGGCAGCCGGGGACCTGTCACTCAGCTGACCCCTCCCCTCAGGTCCATGACTACCTTCGGAGCAAGCTCTGCTCCCTGTATGAGAGCGACTGCATCTTCGACAAGTTCGAGTGCGCCTGGAACGGCAGTGACAGGTGAGCTGGGCCTGGGACCGCAGGGAGGGGGAGGGAGGGGGCCCGGCCTGCCCCCCGGGGTCCTCGCTCCGTGAGGGGCTCCCTCAGCTCCAGATCACACTCAGGTTCCTGCGTCCGCTGCCGGCTGCCCGCCCTCCCAGGGTGCCCGGGGCCTCCGTGAGAATGGCCGCCTCCTGCGGCTTTAGGCGCAGACCTGGGACTGTAAGAGGGACAGGACGAGGCAAGGGCTGCCCTGGAGGCCAAGCCAGGGGGCAGGGAGCTCCGGAAGTGGCTTGTGCTCAGTCAGAGCGACAGCACCGACAGCACCGTGACCACAGGGTCCACTGAAGGACGCGTAGTGGGCAGGCTTGGCTGGCATGTGGACACCTTGTGCTCAGCTGCTCCGGGGACCCCCAGGACACAGGGCTCCTCGGGTTGCCTGAGCTGCATTCCTGATGTGTTCGGGGGCTCCCTGGGAATGGGCCTGGGGTCCTGTAGGCCGCGAGGGCCGCTCCAGCCCCTCCTGGCCCGTGTTGGGTGCCCTGTGCACAGCCGTGCCCAATGCCCGTCATGCTTCTGTGTGGCCACCAGGGGGTGCACGTGGCTAGACACAGGACCTCGTCCCAGCCTTGGGGCTCAGCATCCCACCTTCCCCTCCCACTGCCCAGAGATGGGTACTGTGCATGCCCCCTGCCCATATCCTAGGGTCCCTACCACCCTGCCCTCCTGTTTCCTCTGCCACCCTGCTGTCTCCCACCCCCCAGGGGCTCCCTGGAACGCCCCGCCCACCCCACTCTGCTAGTGTCGATGTCAAGAAGCCTTCTGGGCCCCTCCATCTGCACGGCAGCCTCTCGGACTTCTTTGCCAGCTGCCTTGTCTGTGGTCAGGGATCCCAAGACTGACAGACGCTGGCATCTGCAGCCCAGGAGCCCAGGCCCAAGGCCTGTCCACAGGGGAAGCAAGCATGGGGAGGGGGACAGATAAGAAGGTCCCTCCCCACCTCACCCCACCCAGCATGGGGCCTCCAGGCAGGTGCTGGCCTTGGCACATTTTGTGTCATAGTCTTGGCAGCCAAGAGGCCACTCCTGTCGATTGAGAGTCTGGAGGCAGACTGGAGGAATGGAAAAGAATGGAGCCAGAAAGCACGGAGCTCCCCCTTCCCCCGTCCCGTGGCTGCGCGCGGCTCAGCTGGCGCCCCATACCCTGTGGCCCCTTCCCCCGTCCCGTGGCTGCGCGCGGCTCAGCTGGCGCCCTTCCCCCGTCCCGTGGCTACGCACGGCTCAGCTGGCGGCCCACACCCTGTGGCCCCTTCCCCCGTCCCATGGCTGCGCGCGGCTCAGCTGGCGCCCTTCCCCCGTCCCGTGGCTGCGCGCGGCTCAGCGGGCACCCCACACCCTGTGGCCCCCTTCCCCCGTCCCGGGGCTGCGCACGGCTCAGCTGGAGCCCCACACCCTGTGGCCCCTTCCCCCGTCCCGTGGCTGCACACGGCTCAGCGGGCACCCCACACCCTGTGGCCCCCTTCCCCCGTCCCGTGGCTGCGCACGGCCCCCCACACCCTGTGGCCCCTTCCCCCGTCCCGTGGCTGCGCGCGGCTCAGCGGGCACCCCACACCCTGTGGCCCCCTTCCCCCGTCCTGTGGCTGCGCACGGCCCCCCACACCCTGTGGCCCCTTCCCCCGTCCCGTGGCTGCGCACGGCTCAGCTGGAGCCCCACACCCTGTGGCCCCTTCCCCCGTCCCGTGGCTGCGCGCGGCTCAGCGGGCACCCCACACCCTGTGGCCCCCTTCCCCCGTCCCGTGGCTGCGCACGGCCCCCCACACCCTGTGGCCCCTTCCCCCGTCCCGTGGCTGCACGCGGCTCAGCTGGAGCCCCACACCCTGTGGCCCCTTCCCCCGTCCCGTGGCTGCACGCGGCTCAGCGGGCGCCCCACACCCTGTGGCCCCCTTCCCCCGTCCCGTGGCTGCGCACGGCTCAGCTGGAGCCCCACACCCTGTGGCCCCGTTGCTCTGGTCCATCCCACGTCCTGTGCTGCAGAATGGCCGGCAATGTCCTTTCTTGCCTTGCTAGGACGTCTGAGGGGAAAATGGCAGAGTCCATGTGAGGCCTTCCTCACTTGGATAAATGCCGTCTGTCTTTCCACCCATCGCCATCTGTCTATTCATCTACTTGCCCATTCTTTCCTTTGCCCATCCATTCATCCATGTTTACCTGTTTTTTCCATCCATCTATTCATCTGTCCACGCATTCATCTGTCCACCATCCGTCCATCCATCCGTTTATCCATCCATCTGTCCATCATCTCATCTATCCATCTATCCATCTGTCCACCCATCCATTCATCCATCCATCTGTCCATCCATTCATTTGAAATCCATCCATTAATTTTCCATCCTTCAATTCCATCCATTTATCTATCCATCCCATCTCTTCATCCATCTGTCCCTCTCTGGCCATCCCGCCACCCTTTGAGAAGTGCAAGTAGCATGTTGAGTCTTACCTTCTGAACCTGCATGCCCAGCAGTGAGGGAGAGAAGGTTCCAGCACCCCCGCCCCCAGGCCTTCCGTCTGAGTAGCACGTCAGCACGTCAGACGCAGCCCCTCCCCTGGCTGCTCCTGGGGTCCTCACATGACACCAGACCAGCCAGGGCTGTGGGGTGGACAAGAGGCAGCCCCCCCATCATGCTGGCTGAGGCACAGGAAATGCAAGCTGCGATGGTGACCCCAGCACCCCTCCCCAGCTCCCAGCACCCCGAAGACCCCTGGACAGGACCCACCGCCCTGCTGTCGCGTGCTGAGCCCAACTCCTGTCGACGGTTCCCTCTGCTCCTCCTGTCTCAGTCACGGCCCTCTCCCTGAGGTGTGGGGGTCTCCTCTCAGGTGGGCAGGCGGCCTGGGCTCAGAGGCCTTGGGCTGGCCACGGAGGCGAGGCCAGGCATCTTCAGCGATTGTCCTCCGTGGCCCCAAGTCCAGGGCTGTGTGAGACTGGAGGAGAGCAGCCGAGGATGTGCGTTTACTGTGCGTGCAGGGGCCCAGCTCCTGGCCCCAGAGTCCGAGGGGGGACAGAGATACTGGGAACAGGGAATCCCTGGAGAAAGGTGACATGCAGGGTGGCGTGCCGGCTCTGGGTGTCCCCCCACCTCCCCCTCCTCGGCTGACCCCTGTGGCTGACCCCTGTCCCGCCCTCCCCGCAGCGTCATCATGACGGGGGCTTACAACAACTTCTTCCGCATGTTCGACCGCAACACGAAGCGGGACGTGACGCTGGAGGCGTCTCGGGAGAGCAGCAAGCCGCGGGCGGTGCTGAAGCCTCGGCGCGTGTGCCTGGGCGGCAAGCGGCGGCGGGACGACATCAGCGTGGACAGCCTGGACTTCACCAAGAAAATCCTGCACACCGCCTGGCACCCGGCCGAGAACATCATCGCCATCGCCGCCACCAACAACCTCTACATCTTCCAGGACAAGGTCAATGCCGACGCGCACTAGGGGGCGGCCGCAGCCGGCCCTCCCCGCGGCCTGGCCCGGTGTCCCGACGTGACCCTCAGTGCCCAGCCGCAGGGGCGGCCGTGTGGGGACCCGGCCGTGTGGCCCCCACCCCGCCAGCGCCCCGAGCCGGATCCGGTGTGGGTGGAATGTGGGGAGCCGCGCCCCAGATCCCAAGACAGATGTGCAGCCACAGCCACAAGTCATAAAGCAGATGTGATTGATTAGCGGGGCCCGGTGGTCAGGGTTCCTTCGTGCGCCTGTGTCATAAAGCAGATGTGATTAGCGGGGCCCGGTGGTCAGGGTTCCTTCGTGCGCCTGTGTCCCCGTGTCTGGCTGTGGTCCTGGCCTTGTTAGGACTTCATACAGTCTTGGGTGAGGATCCCCCAGCCCCGGCCCGGCCCTCGGGGAGCGGAGGGGGAAGGCGAGCCGTGTCTGGCTCCGGCGTGCGCGGCCATGAATGCTGCCCAGCTCTGCGGACGCTTGAAGTCTTTCTGGACCCCAGGGCCCCTGTTGGTGCGGCTTCCTCCAGGGAAGGGGTGTGGATGTGGGGGTGCCCCGGCCCTCGCTTCCCGCCACCCCCGGCTCCCCGCTGCCCTCCCTGCGGGGCTTCTCCAGCTTCACACCCTGGGCGCTTTGGGAGCCAGCACCGCGCGGCCCGCGGCCCCACGCTGGGGGTCCGGTCATTTCCTCTACAGACACAGCGCGGTGGGGACGCAGGGCACAAAGGAGGAAACTGAGGCTCGAAGCAAGGAGGCCAGCCCTCCCCCGTGGTGGGCCGTGGCTGCACACAGGCCCTCCTCCGGCCTGGTGACACAGCATCCACCCCGAGGGAAGGTTCTGGAAAGGAGACTTCTCCATCCTGCGAAGCGGGACGCAGCAAGCGTGTGGATGGTTCCTGCCCCTCCCTTGTGCCCTGCGGGGCGTGGCTCCACCCACCCTCGCGTGCTTCTCCCGGCTCTCTGGGCCCCGCCGCAGCCCCACGTCAGGAAGCGCTGTCCCCCGGTCTGCAGGCCGGGACCCCAGACCCGCACCTCCTGAGGTCCTTGCGTGGCTGGTGTTTTGATTCGGGAAGTAGAGGGCAGACGGGCACACTTGAAGCCAATGTCAATCTTCATTTTGTGTTTGTTTTTGTGTTTTACACCTTGGACGAACACGCGGGAAACATCCAACTGAGATTCCCCCGGGGACCACCGGCTCCTTGTATGTGTGGAAAAGCACAACGCGCATGCGCCCTGACTCCCGGCCACACATTTACACAGCAGGGGGCCATCGGCTTTCCTTTTTCTTTTTTAATCGACGTGAATGAAGAATGTTTGTTTATAGATCACTCTACAAGCCAGGTGACCTGGACGGTATTATATGTACATATCTACCCTAACTCAATTTAATGATCCAAGGATCGGTTGACTGCCCCCTCCCCAGCCCCCTTTGTAAAGAGGTTCGAGAATGTGGTACATTGTATAGAATTCTTGTTAAAGCCAAAACCCAGTGAGGGCCTTACACAACTGCTCGGGGATCTGGCACCATGTCTCTCCCTTGTATGATTCAGACTTACGAGAGGAAGTTTGCCTTTTTTGAGTCATGGTTTAAGTGAACATTTACTGTATTCAAAGTGTAAATCTTACAAGATCTGCAAAAAGCAGGGAGAGTCTTCTGTTTTCAACTTGGGGTACCAAACCAAAAAGCAAAAAGAAAAGATACAAAAGGACAAAAGGATCTTCTCTGGATTCCTGCCCAAAGCACTCGGTGGTAACAAGTGTGTATGTGGGGGGGGGAAGCTGGGAGGGGGCGGGCAGCGCGGGGCGGGGCGGGGCGGGGCGGGCGGGCCCGAAGCCAGGTCACAAAACGTGTCTTGACTCTGAGTGTCGGGGTGTTGGCGTCGTCGGTGTGGCGTTGTTGGGGTTGGGTTTTCCTTCTGGCGTGGTGGGGCTCAGCGGGGACAGGGCGGTGTCATTGGGCCTGATCGTCTCCAACTCTGTCACTCATAGGTGCATTCTTTCTTCGGTGTCTCACAAACTATCCAACTGTTGAAAAAAGAATATAAATATGTGAATACCAGCTTTTTCCAATAAAAATAACAAATGTTACATCTACAAGAGGCTCCTGGTGTGGCCCGTGTCTGAGCCGAGGGGTGTCCTGGGGGCGGGGTGGTGGGTGGGTGCACCAGGGGGCATCTGTCTGGGGATGAGGCTGCCTCCTGCTCCAGCTCCTGCTTCCTGTCCTGTCCCACCCCAGCGAGGAGGGACCCGAGCGCTACGGTCGCCGACCCCAGGTCAGGCACAGGGATGGGGGCGGGGCAGCAGACAGTGCCTTAAACCGCTGTGAAGCAGCTGAAGTGTCCAGCGGTCCAGCAGTGTGGTGTCCAGCCAGGCTGGCGCTGCCCTCAGCCGGCCCGCGCAGCGTACACAAGCCTCGGGGTCCCCGCAGGTGGGCAGCGGGGCAGAAGGGACCTCAGGCACCTGGACTCAGAGAACCCCAGGCCTGCCTGACGGCTCACAGGAGCATGTCGGGAGAAGGCCGTGTGCCCTGGGTGCTCCCCTGTACCCCACCTGGAGACTCAATCCCCCCCCCCCCATCACCTTCCAGACCTTTTACACTCAGGTCTAGCAGGTTGAACCCTGTGGTCAGGAAATAGCCCCTGGGGAAGAGAATCCTGCCATCCACCTGTGGGCCAGGGGCTAGCCTGGGAGCCACGCATGTCTAGGAAGCGGTGGGTGGGGTTAGAAGTCAAACCCTGATGGTGAAGAGGCCGGCGCAGCGCTCAGGATGGCTTCGGCCAGCAGACTCAGCATGGGCCCTCAGTATGCCCCGTGCGGGGGCCTTGTGTGTGAGGCAGAGACTTACAAAGACGGAGAGGTGCTGCCCCAGATCACAACCGCCCTCGAAGCCCGGAGAGGCGTGGCTCTGCGGGGAGAAGCCCAGCCCTCGAGCACAGAGCCAGGAGGCCACGGCAGGCCGTGGGCACTCTTGAAACCGCTCGCGCCAGGCCTGCCCGGCACGCGGAGGTCAGACTCAAAATGCTGTGAATCGAGGAGCTGTTTCCCTGCAAGGTAAGTTCATATGAACTGAATCGTAAATTTGGAGGGACAAGCGGCCAGGCGGAGACACGTGTGTACACCGCAGTATGGACTCGTGTGTGGCATGCTCGGCGCTCGGGGCTCATCCTCTGCATGGCGGTGACTCAGGGCAGGCCCGGGCAGGCTGGGTGTGCGTGTGAAGGGGTGGGACAGGGAAGTCCATGGTGATCTGGAGCGGCAGCTCCCGCGGTCTCGTCTGAGGACGGTGACGATGCTGGCCTTCTTTGATACAGAGGACAGCTCCAATCTTTATGAACGTGTCTACGATCAGCAGTCCTGGCGGAAACCGACTCTTGGGACCAGCAGGAAGGAAATGACACAGAAAAGACCTGAAGAATTGAACATGGATGTGTTCCAGGTCCAGATGCAGGATGAGAACAGCCATCCAGGCAACCCAGCCCCAGCCTCCCAGGTCTCCACCTGCTCCCAGGAGCTGTTTGTTATGAACCCCTCAGCGGATGAACCCGTGGATGAGGTCGGAACTCGCAACCCAGTCACCCCTCTCCCAACATGACGGGGAGCCCGTGAACTTCCCAAGGTCACGTGACCCGTGGCCCTGGCCCCCATCATCTGTTTCTATTGCTGTGACAGAGTGCCCGAGGCTGGGTTCTTTAGAAAGAAAAGCTAATTCAGTGCACAGATTGGGAGGCCAAAAGTCTTGGAATTCCCTCGGTGTGGCCTCTGGCCACCATGCAACATGAACTGAAGGGGGGAAAAAATGAGAGCCGGACTTCTGACTTTCTGAGCCTTGGAGAAGGCAGGCAGGGAGAGCCTGGCAAATACTCCACAGTCTCGCTGTGAGGTTCACCTACTGGAGGAGCAGCTGCCTCAAAGGCGTCCCAGCCTCTAGGTGGTTTCTAAGCAACCAAGAAGCTTTTACAGCCTGACATAAGCGCTCAGATTGTGTCTGTGTGGGGCGGTGGGGGTGGGCTTCTCTCAAAGCATAAAGCATGCATGTTTACCGCCACCAGGATGCTGTTAGAATTAGCACAGCCCACACCCTCGGGTGACAGGCTCCAAGAGGGACGGGATCTGCACAAGGCAGTGATGGAATGGGGCGGGGGGACAGTGAGAACGAACATTGTAGGCGTCTTCATGACATCTACACCCCCAAAATCCAAAATAGGAACCGATACGGATGTCTGAAGGGTGAATTCTTCATGCAGCATGCCTACGAAGGCATGTGACAGACAGACAGCATCTCAAGAGACCAGCAGTTACCTTTGCAAGCCCGGAAAACCATTCAGCAGGTTTCCTGAGCACCTACTCTGTGCTCACAGGCTGTGGGCCGTGGGTCTCAGAGCCATGGTATCACTTTGGGCCTCGCTGTGCTCCTCTGCAGACGCAGGGACACAGAGCCCACTCGTGGGTTGGGATTCCCCCCCTCCCCCCCTCCCCCCCGCAGGGTGAGAATCTTCAGCCGAGCCCTGGTGACCACTGTGGCTGGGTGGGGCCAGGCCTGGGGGTGGGCAGGGGTGTGGGGCCATACCCAGGAGGGCAGGGGTGTGTGGCCTGCAGGGGTGAGGGAACTGGGGAGCTGTGTAGGGTGGGAGCAAGGGAGTTGCCAGCCCAGTGACCCGGGCATGTGCATCTCCAGCCCGGCCTGGGCCATCAGGGTTCCCCGCAGGCCGGTGACCTGCCTGTGACTGTCGCTGTCACTCCCTGGACCCTGAGAACACAGCAGCGGCTGCGGAGCGCTGCCCGCGGCCTTGGGCCCACAGGTTGACCATAAGCGGAAGAGCTGGGCATGGCTGCCTCGGACTCCAGGCAGGACCGCTGGCGGGAGTGACGGCAGAGCAGGAACCCCAGGGGGTCTCAGGAGCCTGCGAGGATGCGGGTGAGGCTGGGCTCTGCAGTCCTGACTGCTGTCGCCGGCACCATGCGGAGTCAGATCGGGGGGGGGGGGGGGTCACCATAGAAGAGTGTGGGCCATGGTCATCTGAGCAACAAGGGAG